TTGTTATAGATTTCTTTGGTATGCTTGAAAATTTCTATCAAGAAGAAGATGAGAATGAAGAAGCAATTCCAAAGATCATGGAAGCAATATTGAAAAGAAGATTATCAGGAAAACATGAAGATACTGATGATGAGTTACTGGACGATCTTAAAAGGAAAAATTCTTTGAAAAATGTTAGAGATGAGGATTGCGTATCAGAATTGGATGGAAGTGGTACTGATGAGGAGGGTGGTGATTTGCAAAGTGAGAATAGTGATTCTGAAGGTAATCAACATGATAAGCTGCCTCCTATGTTTTTATGATTTGAATATTTTCTTTTCATGAATTCGGTACATGCATTAGTTCGATAGGTTGCATTCTGAATTCTGACATTTATTAAACAGGATATATATACCTGTGCTCCCACGTTTAATGGTAGTTAAGTACTGAAATTTCTCTTTTGCAACTCTATGAACTTATTCAAAATAATTTGATTGTTGTGTTTATTTTATTTTGGTCTTTATCATAGGATTTTGAATGAAAATTTTGTTAGAGTAGAAGAAAGCAAGATTGTGTGTATCGACGCAGTGCTCAAATCAATGCACTTTTAGTCGAAAGATCTTCTTGCGATACCAATTTTTGGGGAAGATGGGTAGTTGTGTTTCACTGTTGAGTTGATATTTCAACAATCATTTTCCTCACATATCTCCCTCTTTTTGTACCAAAATAAATAAAAGAAAATGGTTCAGGTTCATGACAGTTAAAAACTTTGCAGAATCACAGTAATGTACTAATATTTATAGGAAAAATAAATAAGTTATTTAGAATCAATTGCAATTTGCAAGGAACCCTTAGAAGAAAGCCTGGCTGAGTACGTGCTCCTTATGCGAGTGTGTGTTTGTGTGTTGTGCTTGGGAGAGGGTTGGTCGGGAAGGGTAATATGTTACACATATGGAACATACTTTAACGCATGAGACAATAGATGTATCACCATTTGTTGGTCCAGAACTGACCAGCACATTTATGTTTGTCTCTTTTCAGATTCAAGCGGTGATAGGGAAACGGAATCCGACTGAGAAAGCTGCAGAAGCAGATGAGCTTTTGGAGGTTTGAGCTTCGTACATCAAGAAGATTCGAAGGCCAATCCCTTGCTCATCCAGATGCTACTTTCAGTGGCAGTGAGGCTCATCAGGTTGTAGACTTGTAGGATCTTATTGAGCTCTTCAGGGCAACACACTTTTGGTTAGAAGAGAGGCCTTACTTTGATGGCCACATAATGAAAATTATTATGATTTTCTCTTTATCCTACCTACTTCGGTTTCTCAACTTTGGCATGTTTTCCAGTTCAAAGAGTATATCCAGAAGTACATTAGTTGTTGTTATTTATGCTGTTCATACAAATAGTAAGCCTGAGACAATAGCACAGAAGATTTGCATTCCTCATTGGGCTGGCAGCCTCCTAGGTTAGTTTTTTTTGAAGTTTGTAAGACCAATCAGTTATCTTATATTCTTATCCCCATCTTATTGTAAGTATGATATTTTGTATTTTAGTAGGGGTAAAGTTTGAAAATATATACTAGAAGTCTAGGATGACATGGTGAGGTGATTTGAACACTACACTAATCTTTTGCTACCAGAGCTTTTCAGTTGATCTCAGTTTTCAGTCTGGTGGCATTAAGAACTGGTAAAAGCTTAAGTTATAGGACACTGGTACTATACTACAATGTCTGTCATTTCAGATCTGGTCTTTGGGTAGTGAGTAAATACCTCATTGGATTAGAATTACAGTATGCATAGACTGATATATTGCTGAAATTGAAATCACACACTTTTTGAATCAGCCTGATATTGAAGACAGTGGATACGTAGCAATTTGCAGATGAGAAATAATTGTGTTCCATTCAATCATTAACATAGTAACATGGATGATCCCCACTGATTGCAGTAACATTAATTATAACTATGGACATCATCACCATCATCTACATAGTAACATGGATGATCCCTGTTACGAGTCTTTCGGAAATATTAATTATAACATCAGATTTCTAGAGCTAATCTGAAATTAATGATTGCAGTAACATTAATTATAACATGAGATTTCTAGAGAAAATCTGAAATATTGGAAATTCTTTTTATACGAGTCTTTCGGAAGCCAAAAGACAACAACAAGAGAACAGAACTGCTAAAAAGATGTTTTGATCTCGCGAGTCCCCAAAAAGCAAAACTGAAAAAACAAAAGATTTGCAAGAATCTAACTAATAACATCTGTTTGACTGTTGGTCTTACCCCTGTGCTCACTCATTCTTTTCTTTTTCTTGTCTGGCACTCACTCTCTTTCTTCACTCTTTTTATTACAGTATTAACAGAGCCCAACAGAACCATTTGAAGATGAACGAGAGTAGAGTGAAATGAGAAGAAAATGGAGAAAGCAGAAGAAGAGTTAGAGAGAAGAAGTAGATTTCTAAGTAGTCTTATTCAGAAAAAGAAAGCTGTTCAACAAGAAGAACAACATGAGCTTCTTAATGTTCGTGTTAGAGCTTCAGATATGCCTACATCTCTTCAAAATCAGGCCTTTAGATGTGCAAGACACTTACTTGATTCTATGCCCAACAAGCTTGATAGCAAACGCCTTGCATTAGCCTTAAAGAAGGTAAACAAAATAACAAACACTTCATACCCCTCTTTCTTTCTTTTTATTAATTAGATTGTTGTCAGTTTGAATGGGTGTCGTTCTTTACTTGTTTAGAGATCAGTTATTGCACTCAAGATTCTTCTAGATAAAACCCTTTGTTGTGTCTGTTATTCATTAAGTTCTCTGGTTAAAGGGTATTGGAATGTGTAGTTTTGTTGAGGCAAAGTCAATTCTGTTATATAGGTCAGGGTTTTTGTTCATATTTGGGTAATGAACAACAATCTGCCAATAAGGTAGTTGAACTCACAATAAGGTATGAGCAGAATCATATTATATGTTAAAATGAAGACATGAAGTAATGGAAACGGTGCAACATGGTATAATCTTAAAACTCTGTTAAATAAACATTGTCTGCCTTTCACATTTTCACAGAAATCTATTGATTCAACACTCATGAAAACTTGACAAACCGTATACATAATTGAAGAGATGGGAAATGGGTTTGATTAGGTGTGTTGAGGGTTTCAATAAAGAGCAGCATTTGGTGACAAGAACCAGAAATCCCGTGTTTCACACCTTTCATCTTTGCTATAGATCTAGCCTAAGAGCATCTTAACTGTAAATTGTCTTTTATCTTTACTTTATGTCTTTGACCAAAAATAGGGTTTGTGTCTCCCCTAAAGTGGTTGTTTCAGTGTTTGTGATCAAAATCTGGTTTATGGCAGCAATCGGTACAGTTTAAAGGTAATGTTCCCATAATATTTCCAAATGTCTCAGTCAAATTTTCTTTCAAACAAGAATCCACACATACTGTTACCTGAACTTCTGTTCTATAGATCTTCTTGCAGAACTCTTACTTTTTAATAAT